CTGATTTCTTCCAAAAGTTAGGAATTTTTGCGTATGATTGAGCAAAGCTTATATATGAAATTTCAAGTAAATCGGTTAAATACTTTCTTCAAAATGGTGAAAAATGTAAAATCGGCCCGCAAATCAGTTCTCGAGCCCTGATCTTTCCAAAAAAGTTATATGTTCATTGCTTTAATATGAGGAATTCATATATTAAATTTCAATGAAATCGGTTGATTATTTCTCTTTATATACACAAAAATGTATATTTGGCCCGTAGTAAACGTCTAGTTGCCGATGCCTGATCTTTCCAAAAAATTTACATGTTCATTGTTTTAATACGGGGAATTCATATATTAAATTTCAATGAAATCGGTTGATTATTTCTCTTTATATACACAAAAATGTATATTTGGCCCGTAGTAAACGTCTAGTTGCCGATGCCTGATTTCTTCCAAAACATACGAATTTTTGCGGACGGTCGAGCTGAGCTTATATATAAAATTTCAAGTAAATCAGTTGAATACTTTCTTCAAAATGTTCCAAAATGTAAAACAGGCCCGCTAAAAAGTGCAGTTCCCGAGGCCTGATATACACCAAAAGTTGATCGATCCGTGCCATGGTGGAAACAAACTTACATATAAAATTTCATCAAAATCGGTTCAGCCGAACTTGAGATACACGCGTGCACACACAGACCGACAGACCGACAGGTTGCTAAAAATAGTTTATTTACACTTCCCTACTATGGAGAAGTACGTTCCCACCGAAAACTCGATATGCAAAATTTGTTGCCATCACATAACCTACCTATTGTTTACACAATACGGTCGGTAAAAACACTATGGGATAGTTTGAAAATTGATGTATTGCAACTTGATGATCGTTAAACTTTGGAAAATTTTATAACATTTGAAATCCTTCGGAAAATTTTGTTGAATAGCCTACTTTGGATTTTATTTTTTAAAATCTTTCTTTTACTAGAGTAAAGGACATTTTACAAACACTATAATTTGTGCTCGTATATAAATTCAATATATTATAAGTTGTATTTTTGGAAGTGATTATACACGTATTCGCCGCCTTATACAATTGTTATTAGATTAATAGTAAGGAAAAATGAATTCTAATAGGTAGATCAGTGCTCATGTAATTTTGTACCAAGTTATAAACCGAATAATAAATTTATAATACTTTAGGAATGAAATTTATATAAATAAAAAAAAAATTTATGCAAATTTCTATATACGACCAAGCAAAGCAAAATGGTTAATAATTTCCAACATTTATCAAAAAAGAAAAGAAAAACAACAATAAATTCTTGCGTGAATATCCATTAATGTTTACACAAATATAGGATCATTTGTATGACAATAATGTCGCAGACCTGTGTCTAGCGCAGATGAAGAGGATAATTTATAGTTCAGACTATTTTATAACTTAATTTGAATCTCATATTTTATATTTTGAAAATTAAATTATAAAAATTCTAAGTATTCATATTTTGGCAGTTAATCATCAAAGAACTAAATAATATAGAATTTCTGTTACTGTTTTATGATTTTCACTAAAATTTCTTCAAATTTTTATTGTCAAATAGCTCATTATGCATATGACATTTAATTTTTCATTTAATTTTAAAACTAACTTCATTATGTCATATTTATAATAAACAAATATATCATTAAAAATTGTTGAGATTAGATTAAATAGCTGTAAAAGCTATAAAAATAATTCTAATGAAAGTCAGTCTCCCAAAAATATGCAATTTTTAAACATTAGTTTTCTTTTCAATTTCGACACCAGAAAATCCAACATAATAAAATCTAATTTATGTTAGTCGAATAAAAACATAAAATAAACATCAAGAAGAAATTTTTATTAAAATTTTTATATTATAACATCGAAGACTTTTATCATATACCGATATTTTTCTAATATATGCGAATTTATGGTTAAACAGAGAATCGTAAATCCAAAATATTAAATTCTTAATACTATAATTTTTTCTTTCTGATTCATAAAATTTCATTGACAGCTTTGATAACACACACACATTAATAACACACGAAAAAAATAAATGATTTATATGGGATTTTTTTATATAATCTAAATTGGAAAGGAGTGTAAAAGTTGTATAGGTTTAATATACTTTCACATACAAAAGGTTTTTGCTTTATCTTATTATCATAAATAAAAAAATCAATTATCAAAAATTATATTTATCCGATAATAATTGGATTCAATTTCCAAAATCCTGATAATATTATTAGAAGAATGAAAAATTCAATATTAATATTAAATTATTTAGTTAAAACCAAAGAACTTCAAATACTTTTTTAAAAATAAAAATTTTACTTGCAGTGCGGAAAAATAATTAGCTGTGTTTAGAAAATTCATATGGTTTTTAATTTTGAAATAGAAAATTAATCGAATCAACGCATAAATAACATTTTAAATCAAATATAAGAGAAATTTATTTTTAATTTTCAATTTATTTCAATAGTTTATGTACAGGATTGTCTAATAGTGATCTGAAGCAGGCTTATAAATTAACATAAATAAAATAAAGACCTTAAATTAAATTAAAATCATTAGTATGAATGAATGAAGGTAAAGGGAAGCTTGTTAGAAATAATTATTTTCAAATATTCTAATTAAGTAATCAAAAATTTTAGGAACTACAAAAAATCTTTATCTAATCTCGTGTTGGTCGCTATGAGAGAGAATTTAATTGACTTTAAAATTAGTTTTACAAGTTTATTCTGTCTGTGGTATTTCCGTCATAAGTCATAAAGAAAAATGTACACATTAAACGCAGAAATACCTTGGCTTCATCAACTTGAGAACATAGAAAAGAAGATGTCCTTACTTTTTTGTACGACGTTATTTATTCAATTACACTGTTCTACATTTTGCTTGATTTTCACCTCTTTCAAATTCTGAGACGTATGCAATATTTTGCAATATAATTAATTATTTGGTAGGATTTCCAGATTTTTTTCGGTTATTGCTTTTATGATTTAGGTATTCATAAATATTTATATGTAGAATTTCTTGAAAACAGTTTAAGACTTAAGACCCAACTATAAAGGACACAAAATAATTATATTTAGAATTTCGAAAGAGTTCGGGGCTTTATTCCAAGCTTTACAGGTGTACAAAAAGAAATTCTTTATCCATTGTTTATCATAGTTTTTAAAAATATTTTGTGCTTTAGTAAAGTTTTCTTAAATATTTCAATTTGCAATTAAAATCTCATTTCATTCAGCTAACAATTACAATATGGATGGAAATTGTAATACAAGTGTAACTCCTTAACATAATTTACACAATTGTTCTAATTTAAACATAAATTATTCATTTACATATTTAGTATTACTTCAACAAAAGATTTCATTGTTTTGTTATTTAGGGTACAAAAAAATGTGTAATTATTTTGCAAGTAAGTTTTTGTACGTTGTAATTAAAATTCAAATTAACGTACACATAAAAAATTAAAACAACAAAAACATATTCAATTTTTCCTCAACAAAATCTAATTATCCGTACCACTATAATTACAAAGTCAAAAACAAAATATTTTTTTGCAAAGTTCTGAGAAACTCGTCCCCTAATAAAATTACAATAGTTACAAGTATAACATGGTAATCTTGTCCCTTATAATGGATATTATATAAACCGTTTAAATCACATATGTTAAAGTAGTCACCCCAAAAGAGTTCGAATATACTAGCTAAACTTTAATTCATATATTTGAATTAGAAACTTATAGAATGAAAAAAGCAGATGTGTTATAAGTATCCTTAATGTTAATGGTGATGAAACGTTAAGAAACCATTTTGAATACCACAACATGTTATGCAGGATATACGAAAAACTACGCTGATTGCAACCTGAGCTGGAAAAACCTGTTAGAACAGTCAGGTTCTGCTGGTAATTATTATGGAGACTCTGCATTAAGTATTAACTAACAAATTGACTTGTAAGAATAATTTCTTTCTTAAGTAAAATTTAGTAAATAGTAATTCTTTTTTAGGATAGAATAAAGTAGGCAGATTTTTCTCACATCAATGAAAACTCGTGTTTTGCACAATTCAAAAAAAAACTAGAGCTAATATACTTATTAATTTTGCCCTGTCTGTATAAGACAGAGATTAATAAGATTAATTTTGATATGTCTTCGAGTGAAACCTTCTTCTTCGATGAGAATTTTTTCTTCTCCCATACTCAAAATACTAGAGCCAAAAAAATCAGAAAGATCCAAAAAAGGACATTTTTTAATTCACCCATTCTGTATGTCAAATGTCTTTTTTCGTTCGGACAAAAATATTTCGTTTATCGTGATGTAAAATTTGTGAGCTTTTGCCACACAAAAGGATATGATGAGAGTAACCAGTTTTTTACATAATTTTTTTTCCAAAATTTTTATAACTATTCCAAGTTGTTGACTAATAAAAAAACTAAATTTCAATTGCCGGTACCAGGTTTTCCCACCAAAAGAATCTATCCAATTAATATTAATCTTAACTAACCTATATTGATAGTCGAATCCGGCTCCTATGTCAATGCTATGATTATTTAAAATCAATGTTTTGGAAACAGAATAATTCAACTATATGGTTTAATAAAAATATTTTTAATAATTGTACAGGAAAACGTTTAAGGAAAATATTACATGATTTTTTTTAGCACCAACCGTTTACCGATATTTACAAAGTGCGAAATTTTGGCTACTACATACAGCTAACGCCCTACTAAATTAAAAGTAGAATAAGAGAAATTTAATATAAGCTTTGCGATGAAAGGAGGTTTTTCTACTTTTGCAAAATTGAAAAAATGAGTGTGTGTTTTTTTTCGATTTAGGTTCGAATCGAAGTGTATTTAGAATAGATACAGAGTGCAGAATAGATATACGAGCTAACCTACTTGTGGACAGACTGAATTTTGTTGGAAGTGTACTAAAAATTAAATTAAAAAATAATTAAAATTTATAATTAAAATAAATTTCAAACATTTACCTTAAAATTGAATTAAAATCCAATCCTTATATTATTTTTGTTTTGCATAAATTAATAAACATCTTCTATTACTCGCAAGTTCTTAATAATACTGTTTTATAACAATCTGAATAAATAATTTCCTATTTAATTTTTTACTATTAATCTTCAAAACTTTACAAAATATTAAATAAAGAATTTAAAAAAAAAAAAATTTTTAATTAATTGTAAAGATATTATTGTATTTTTCTGTAATTCTAGCAAATGAAAAAGAAAATATACATGTAGTTAATTTAACAACACACTGAAAAAATTAAACGACTCACTTTTTACACCGCGTAAATTTAATTGCGTGCGTTAGAAACTTAATTTGCAGCCTTCACTAATGTTTTATAGCAAAAAATCCTCTACTTTTAATTTCATGTAAACGTTCTGTAACAAATTTTTATTTTTTTTTTTTGTTTTCTGCTTTAAAAAGTCACATATGCCTACTATAATTTTCAAAAATTATGAACTAAAATAAAATTTTTTTACAAATTACAATTTAAAATAAATTTTTTTTTTTATTTTTTTAAATTATTAAATGAAACACCGTTATAGCTTCTATCAAATTTATTTTGATTTTTATTTTTCGATTTCGAATAATAATTTTTTTTTAATTGCGAACAAATAAAATTAATTGTGAACTCATCAAAATCCAGTCGATAACTGTTTACAAAATTTTGAATTTAACAATGTTATATATAACAAAAATCTCTTAATATTACAAAAATATACAGTTATACACAATTATTCAAATCGATATACATACATACACATGTACATAAAATTCATTATATATTCAATAGCATCTTTTATCTTCCACGTATACTGAAAATAATGCATAGTACATAAAAATATTACAAACAACTATACAAACAATAAAAATACATAAAGATAACGAAAGCATAAGAAAAATAATGAAATCGCATTATTTTCATTTTCAACAATGCCACCATTTTTTTTTCATTCCACAACAAATAATGTTTGTATACTAAGCTACTCATATGTACATAACATTTCATTTCACTAAAGTATATTAGTACTTTTGTATAATAAAAGTGGGTGCTAAAATATAACAATTTTTGTTTTGTGTTGAATTTACGAATGAAATTATTTTGTAGGTACATGACATCTGCAAGAAATTTCTGCAAAATTCAACCAAAGAAAGAGTAGAATGCAAAAAAATATTTGAAATATTTGCGTTTGTATGCATAAGTGTATGCAAATATACATATATTTTAAATGTATGTAGTACTATGAGCATTATACAATACAAATTTTAGTACTTTGCTTCTTGTATACACAAATGAAAACAAGAGTGTAAGAGTAATAAATTTTGATAATAACTAATTGTGTAAATGAAAAAGAATAGAGAGAGAGACAGAAAAAAAGAACGTGTTTTCATTCTACACGTGATTTTTGTTTATCCCAAGTAGCAAATGGTGATGATTATTTGCATTTAACAATTTTTTGACTGAAAAATTTTTAACTTCTTAATAAATATAAAATCATATACATGTATTTTAAAAAAGTTGGAAATTGAAAAAATTCGCGGGCGATATGAAAACCAAAACTTAAAAACAATAGAAGAGTAAAAAATTTTAAATTATATTTCCTAAAACTTCTTTTCATAATTATTTGATTCGACTTTATTGTGTTGGAATTTCAGAACAAAATCCAATAGAATTTTAAAATCTGGAAGCATAAGTCTTGATTTGCATTGATGTGGCATATATATAACTAGCCTAAATCCAGTCAGTTATAAATATCGATTTTAGGTTTATTAGTTTCGACATTTAAGTGAAGTAATACAATTTTTAAAACAATCGAAAATTAAGAATAAAACCATAAAAGTAGATGTAGTTCGTACTGCGTACATCATATTTATGAAAATTCTCTCATATAAGTGTTTTTTTTATTACATTGTAAATAACACTATCCTAAAATGAAACTTTTCCTTTTATGAAAAATTAATTTTCCTCAAAGTAAAGCTTCTAAGCTTATGCACATTCAATTTCAATGGAAAAAAATTATTTCTGCAAAAGCTTTAAATTTTCATATTTTATCATTAAAATATTCACCGTTAAAAGTTTTCCAAAACTTTCTCAAGAGCTTAATATCGAGTACCAAAAATAAATTTCCCATATCGAAAAATATCCTTACTTTCAAATCCATTTGAGTACACAATATTATGAAAGCTTTTCCATTTTTAAATTTATTGCTTTTTCATAATTTTCTTTAATTTAATAAGGTTTCTCATAAGGATTTCTTTTGAAAAGACACAATGAAATATTAAGAAGCTTAAATAATTCCATTAGTAAAGAATTGAACATTGTCAAGGGATTTAAAAAGTAACCCCGAAAAAAAAAATTGAAAAATGTCTTGACTTTTTAATTGTATACAAATTTTGTATATACGAGTAAAAGAGTAAATCTCTATTAAAACTTTGAAATTTTTTAATGCTTTGTTTATAAAGTAAAAAGTTTTAATCAATTAGCACATCAACAAGTTAATTGAACTTTATACAAAGGATATTTGAAGGATATTACTTATAAACGCATTTTGAAAAGTAATAAAAAAAGCACCAGTTGAAAATTTTGGAAAATTAATTTAAAAAAAAAATATTATTAATCGATTTGAGTTGATATGGTCAGTACATAACCAATTACAAAACATATTTTCAGATAGAGACTTTTATAAATTTAAGGAAAACTACGCTATTAAATCAATTCCTTGAACCTAGTATATTGGAAAAAATTCATAACAAAATCCAAAATAATTTTAATAGGTTTATTTAAAGTAAGAAGAGGATTTCTGTGGTGAACCCAAAATATAAAATTTAGAGTGGTCATGATGCCATCTTTCTTATATGCAATACCATTTTTGAAAACTTTGGAAAGGTAAACGTTAGCCATTATTACTATTCAATCTACTAGAATTCTTAATGCTGCAATCTATTAAAATTCAGCATAAATCTTGTAAAAGTAAATCAAAATAAAGTTGGGTCAAACCAATGGTTTGTATTGTAGCACTTTTCCCTTCAACAAGTGAAAATTCTGCTTTTAAATACAGTCTATGTATACCTATCACACTATTAAAATTATTTTCATTCATAAACGATACTATTTCTAGGATTGCATATATTTAGGATGAACGATTTATGCAGTCTTTGAAATAAAGCAAAAATTAATATAAAAAGGGGTTAACATAATGCTCGATTTTAAGGGTTAATTGTGTGAGTTAAGGAAAATAATTATATTTTTTAATGTCATGGAATTTACCGTTAGCTTTTTGCGTTTATAGAAATTTGAAAAAACGTGCGATTTCGGAAATATAAGGTGTCAAAAATTCAAATTTTACAAATTTCAAGGGGCGATAACTTGAGAGGGGAAAAATTTTCTTCTAACGAAATGAACTATTTGTTTATGTCTAAAAGTCTAGAAGAGAAACGACATCAAAAATTTGGAAAAAAAAGGACTTTAGATAACGGTAAATTTGAACGGCCATTTTGTTTTTCTAAAGTTCAACTGTAGTATACCGCGCTAGGGAAAGCAAGCCGCTGCCTTTCTTCGTTTACAAAATTTCAAAAATGCTTATGGTTTCATTGCAACAAATAGTTAAAAAAGGCCATTTTTAAGGTTTTGGGGGGGTATAACTTCTAGAGGTGGGGAGATAGGTAAAAATTTTGTTCTACGGAAGTAAGTTTCTAGTAAAGATCTATGTACATATAAAATTTCAGCTTTCTATCTTCAAGGGTGTAGAAGTTTTGTAAACAAAAAAAGTGTGCACGGACGGACGGACGGACGGACAGAGTGAAACTAATAAGCACTTTTTTCAAAAATTTTTTTGGAAAAGTGCTAAAAATTAAACCTGTAATATTAAGAATGAATAAAATTCAATTTAGAAAAATTTTGAAAAAGCGATTCTGAATTTCGATTATCATTAGAATTCGCGTCACTTTTAACAGCCTTTAGTTCAAGAATTCAGTAGAACAAAAACTCTGAAATTTGAATTTTACAATAATTGCTGTAGATAATTTGAAAATTATTTTGTTTCAAAAGAGTATTTAAATTTTAACTAAATATAAAATATTTTCTATGGTTTAGTGCTAATAAATACTCTTTAAACATTTTTTCAATAAAATTTTTCTGTTTAATTTTAAGCAATCATACAATACAGACCATCATAATCACTGAAACTCTTAATAGCTGCAAAATTTTCTTTCAATTTCAATATACGTATAATACTTCTTAATAAAGATTCAAGCATTTCAGTTTCATAATATTGAAAATTCAAAGGAAATTGCATAAATACTTGCGAATGAAACGCATGACATCACAAACCATTTATATTATTTCCGTAATTTCCGCATACCCTATATAACGACACTATTATAATCCTTTTTAAAAATGACAATTACACAATATTCAATCTGACGCTTTTACTAAACTCTTCAATAATGGAAGTACTACGCGTTCAAGTAGTTGGAAAACGCATTTTTATAAATAAATATATAAAAAAAATGAATATCCTTTTTTTGCAAAAGCATCCTATGTACATACAAGTCAACATATTATGAAATATAACTTAATTCGTTAACTTTTCGATTCATATTTTCCAACATACAAATAAAATAACATTCCTTGAAAAAAAAAATAAGAATAATTTCATACGAAATCAAACACAATCAACATAAAATAAAAAATGAAAAGAAAAAACACAATTTCCTGAGGGCTTTTAACATTTCTGAATACATAAGTGACTTTTGCGTTAACTCCTTTTATAAATGTTACTATAACGAATGATTTCTTTTTTTTTTTTTTTATGTTCACGGTACTCGGTTCTCTTAAAAAAAGACGTCATAAAACAGTATGATAGCGATTATTCTATATAATATGAGAAGCGGTTCTATTTATTTTTACTGCACTCAACATTTTTAGAAAAATTTTTAAAAGTTTATTATCTCTTTGAGTTTTTATAAACCGCAAAGTAATTCGAATGGGTATAATTTTTTTTTTTATTCGTACATACACGTTTCGTGTTTCCTTTCTGCTTTTCATGTGGTTTACTTTTTAGTTATTCTATAAAAAATAATAAAGTAGCTATACAAAGTTCTGAATGTAGAGAGTAAATATGTTCTCGTACCTAAATACAGAGTGATCACGAACTCAATTCATTCTAAAATATTTTACACTCTATAAATTTTCTAGAAATTACGGAATTAATTAATTTTTGAATAAACTCAAATTAAAATTTAAGACGACTGAGCATAATTTCAGACAAAACTACAAGAAAAAAACTATTGTTAAACAATTTTTTCCTCATTACTCACACTACTCCGCAATCTGAATGGTGAAGATCTATATAACAATAATGTTTTTATAATTACATAGCATCTAATTGAATTTGCTTATATGAGGGATTTAAAAGTCTTTAAATCAAAATTTAAAAGTCTTTGTAACATACTTTAGTCTTTGCGTACAATAAAAGTAGGTATTATATTAGATCCTAAAAATTTGAAGATTGATACAGTAATATTGATTAATACTAATCATGTTGCAATTATACGGCTTTGAAAGCTGTAAAGAATAGAAAAACT